ATGGGGTAAATGGATAGGATATTACGATTTCATATTATATAAAGATTTTTCTATGCACTGACTCTACAATATAGAATCTTGTATATTTCCACGACCAGCTATCGCGTCATTACGTTATAAATTGCTATTAATTTAGTTAATTAGTTTCATCCGTGATGTCCTTGTTTAATTATTATCTTCACTCGTAGTGAATTACTACTTATTTTAAAACTGCATCAAAACTAATTCAATTTAATCTAATTGATAAATAAGGAGATAACTAACGGATTCGCTCACAAAAATAGTGTTTATCAATACTGACAGGAGAAAAGAAAATCGCACTTCAAATTTGTATTTTGCTTTGTTTTTTAGTAAGTATGTGGCACAAAGAGTTAATGGTCTCGCAGGAGCGTGGCGTACTTACCCTAAACAATTGTTTGCTTTACATTACGTTTTTGCTTGGCGGTATAAGATAGACACGATAATAGTACCTAAACGCTTGTGAGCTCGCAAGACACAGATGTAAAAGCCGGTTAGTAATTGCAGTATGTTAATTAATATAATACTCAGACAACGCTGCCGCAGTTTAGACCACATAGCCATAATTAATTTCGTCTTTAATATATAAAACCGCTGAAACTATAGTTCGTATTCGTTTAGAAATAATTATTATTTCCATTTCCGCTAAAGTTGCTATTGCTACTGGGACTATGGGAGAGGTTCCGTGGCCTATTAAATAAACAGCTTATAAATATAAACGTTAGGAAAAGCTAGATTATATTATCTGTTTATGTGTATTTAATAAGGCAACAAAATTTACTGTGTTATACCAGTGAGCTGCGACTGCCAATCGTCATCTAATGGTAGGGCATGCTGTAAGCGCACATGCGTAGATACTACCCTCCTTTATTTTTCTTTCTTACTAGATAAAATATTCGCGTTCTAGTTCGAAAGAGATAATAGACGCTATAGAATACAATTGAGACTTGGAGTTCAAGTTAAGAATATTCTATAGATAGCGGCAATCATGTTGTCATGCTTATGGTCTCTGTTGTCCGTTTACACCAGGTGGGCTGTGAGGTCATTGGCCCGACTTCGCATTAAAAGAAATGATTGATCGACGAATTAACTTTGCGAAAGTTAATCAGAAAACAGTGGCCGAGTAATTTCGAAACAACAAAAGCCAATAAAGAGGGGGGTCGTGATTACAATGGAGTTAAAGCGAAATGTACCGGAAAATCGGTCAAGTCGATTCCGAACAGCGAATCGACAAGTACTACGGATATCGGAAAATTGCTCGGAGCAACACTGCTAATCTACTGTGAATTTCTAACAAGAAGTCAATGTATTAGATGAAAAGAAGATGTACTAAATAAGGACATGAACAAATTTGAATTTTTAAATTTTCATGAGAATTAAATAATTCAAAATTGAAAAAGAAAAGAAATTCGAAGTTTGATTTAGAAATTGAAATCAATTACTTTTACTGAATCTCGAGGACCAGACCATTAAAACCGTCAGCGTTTTCATGCCAGCGTGTTCGTGCCAATTTCTGGAATCCATTTACACTGGAAAATGAAGGTTCTACAAAAGGTTTCACCTTTTCGTTTAAGGGACAAAAAGCTATTTCCTACCTACAGTCGATCCGATGGATTTCCTCATTTGAGGTGGATACAAATTATGGATTTTTACGACTAAATTAAGTATCCATATATTTTAGAAGAATACGTTAACAATGCTATATTTAGTATAATATATTCCGTATAATAAAATAAATGTAAAACTAAATATATAGCATTGTAAGCATTGTAAGTGCACACGGGGAGACTCTTTTACTTGCAATGGCACCATTGCTAGTAATTACATCGTGCGAGAGCATTTAGTAAGAAATTCAGCTAGCTCATTTTTTACACCAATTGGGTGCTAATTAGGAAGCAAAATCGATCTTTCCAGTGGTGAAACTAGTTATTCGTTTATAAAAATATATAAAATATTTCCCGACATCCTCATTACGGCCATTCGGTATTCCCTTTGTGTCATTTGGCCCTAATTGCCGAGCAGCCACCACGTTTCTGTTTGTAGGGTCGTATAGTCCTTGCGTATAAATGAAAGTGAAGTTATCCATATTGTGGTTACACTACACTTTTGTAGCTCCAATTACTTACTTAGGATGACAATGAATTCGCTCTATAAAAGTATCGACCAGAGCTTATTAATTGTCTTTTATTATTTTATATTTATATAAGCCTATGAGAAGCGATTCACGACGAATCCTTTTTGTAGCATGATAGGGAGATACGCTGAACCAACCCTACATACTGGTGGTAGGACCTCATGTGAGTCCGCACGGGTAGGTACCACCGCCCCGCCGATTTCTGCCGTGAAGCAGTAATGCGTTTCGGTTTGAAGGGTGGGGTGGCCGTTGTGACTATACTGAGACCTTAGAACTATATCTCAAGGTGTGTGGCGCATTTACGTTGTAGATGTCTATGGGCTCCAGTAACCACTTAACACCAGGTGGGCTGTGAGCTCGTCCACACATCTAAGCAATAAAAAAAAAATCATAATGTGCGGTAAGCGCAAGAATATGAAGAAGATGAAGCAATTCACCACAATAACACGACTACCAACTATGCTATTCAATGATAGTTAACGAGCGTATAGCTACTGTAAACGTAGACAATGTCAGTGATAATCGTAGTCAAGACATTAGATAAAACAACCAACATTATATAGTGATTTAACAAGCTATGTTGTGCCTTTACGTTGGCAACATTATGCGCCTAACAACCAAATCAAATCAAATATAAAATTTGCAGTTATTGCGTAAACATATATTTCTTCTGTGCGTGTGTTTGTCACTGAACTCCTCATAAACGGCTGGACCGATTTTAATGAAATTTTCTGTGTACTTTCAGGTGGATTCGAGAACGGTTTAGATTTAAAAATCAGCCGGTATCTAGGTTATTTATCTTTCCTAGAAATAATTTATATGGAAAAACAGCGTTTGCCGGGCCAGCTAGTAGTAAAATTGTAAAAATCGTGCTTAATCCACCAATGAATTTCGAATAAAAATTGCCCATCAATACAGTTTGTTCGAAAGCAAATTCTGAACACGAATCATTATATCCGGATAAAATCGAGATTGATGGAGACGCCCAATACCCGGGATATATCCGGATTTAGTTAGTAGAAGCTATAGGAGGGGATCGAATCACAAATAATGAATAAAACAGTTCGTGTGTACAAAGCTTTTGGATGATTTGTTCAAGTGGCTTACGTTTCGTGACTGTAATTTGTCAAGAGAGAAACTTCTCGAAGCCTATATAATATATGAAAGCGAATTCATATTTATTATGAGGCAGCAGAATTTTTTTTCAAGAATCCAGTGCCTCACTGCGAAACCGTCGTGCGATTAATTCTTAAAAGAAGATTTTACTAGACGGAATTTAAAAAAAAAACTGTAAGATCGTTTTCAATTAAAAATAAAACAAAGTGCCGTTTTTTATTAAAAAACGAGAATATCAATGATTTAAGATGAAGTGCCTCTTTGTATTGTAGGTTAGTGTTTACAATTGGAGAGCTAAGTAGGTGCAGATTTTGCTATTACGAATAAAAATTTCACGTATTAAAAATAATCCTAAAACATCGCAAATTATTCTTACTAATTTATACCGTAACTTTAATAACTAGCTATTTAACAAATAACCTTCTTCCATTTAATTAGAATACATGGATTGAATTGTTAATAAATATTAATTAACAATAAATAGTTAATAAATAAATATATTTTTTATAGTTTTTATTAATCAGTGGACGAGCTCACGGCCCAGATGGTCTTAAGGAGCCCATAGATCCTAAACGTAATGCCTTTCGCTTTGAAGGATGAGACAGCCACTGGAAAGTATAATTGAGCCTTAGCCTCATGATATCTGAGGTCCTGTACGTAATACTAATATTAAAAATATTAAAAATCAAACGAATATTTTCAAAATTCTCGCTACTACATTTAACAGACGTAAGAACACAGGTGATATATTTAATTGAGTGCAGGTTCGTGAACACGAGAATGACATAGCGTAAAATGTAAAACACTAGGTATACTTGACTTCTAATGAAATACGTACTTGACGCATGTTCACAATAATTTACTTCTACTACTAAGGAATAGCATCTTGTAAGTGAAAATAAAGACCGTAAAAAAAATTAACTTTTTTTTTTATTGCTTAGAACGTGGACGCGCTCACAGCCCATTTGGTGTTAAGCGGTTACTGGAGCCCATAGTCATCTACAGCGTGAATGCGCCACCCACCTTGAGATATAAGTTCTAAGTTCTCAAGTATAGTTACAACGGCCCCACCCTTCAAACCGAAACGCATTACTGCTTCACGGCATTTGCATAAATACTGATGGTAGGGCGTGTCTTGTGAGCCTGTATGGCAACCACTACCCCGTCTATTTCGTTCGTAATGCGTTTCGGTTTGAAGGTTGGGGCTGCCGTTTTACTATAAAACTGAGTTTTAGAAGTTATTTCTCAAGGTGGGAGGTGGCATTTACGTTGCTGATATCTATGGACTCCAGTAACCAGTTATCACCGCGTGATCATCTACTCATCTAAACAATAACAAAAAAAATCATTTCAGCAAGGAAATTACCGATTTTCTGTACTCTAATGACAGTACTAGATACTTTGAGAATGTTTGCGAGATCATCTTTTCATTTATTTTCTTCAGCAGCACATTACACGTCACTGAGACTGAATTTATTCCTATTATCTCCGTTCATCAAAAGATAAGGAGTAATTTAATTGATACCGTAAATTCTTTCTTAATGAGAAAGTTGGATAAATTACTAAAGAAACGAATTTTTATTTACAGACTACCGTCAATCAATCTAATGCTATCGTAAACAGCGCTGACTTTTTGTGATGCAGACTTTAATGTTCTAAATATATGATATTAACGAGTGAGATGGTCCAATTGTAGATTCATAAAGCTTAAGGAATGCAATTTTGTTTGCAGGTGGCAGTAATATTAGAAAATGGCGTCATCGGTGCGCAAATAGTGTGCGAGTGGTCGTGGGGCCGCGTGGCGATGGGGCGGGCGCGCGCGTAGCCCCGCTGACCCTCTCGGTATGGACGAGGACGAAAGGCGGCTCTCGTTTCCGCCGCCGGCGCCGCTCAACTCGCCCGGCGAAGAGATCGATGGCTCACGCCTGCTCGGCGAGATCGTGCGGACCCTCGAGGCCACAAACCCCGAGGCCGCAGCACCGCTCGTTGCTTCACAGTCACGCGATGCTCTCGATTCAGAATGTGAGAAACCCCGTCGCGAGGAACTGCGGATCCCACTCGAAGGTGTTAAGTTCTCGAGCGAGACCAACGGTGGCGGCGGCGGCGGGGGCGGGGGGCGAGAAGAGCCCAGGGCTGCGGTCACGCCGTTCACGCGGGAGTCTGCGAGGCGCGCTGGGTCGCGGGGGGCACAGCTCGTGCGTGAATTTGGCTTCATGCCGCGGCGCCGACTTAGCGTTGAAGATGGCGCGCGCCTTCCGCGGAAGTACGAGCCGTTTCCGCCTAAGCTGTATGGACGGCCGCTCGAAGAAATTGATAATTTCATTTATGATGAGGTAAGCTTATAGTTATTAAATTTTCATATATTTATACATTAAAAATAGAAGATGAAAATGAAAGCAATGCTTTTGAAGTTCAGTTTTCACACTTAGGTACGTTTAAGAAGAAAAAAATTATAGTGATTTTTTTTTCGTAACATTCGCATTAAACGGGCTTAATTATTTTGCATTTACGTCTTATAAATACTACCGCATACTACTAACTACTACTAACACGCCCACGAGTTTTGGAAACCATTATGTTTGGCCTGTGAGGATTTGCTTCGTAGATTACTCAGATGTATCACGCTTCATTGGTTCAGAGTGATGCACGTAACAAGTGGTACATGAAACCCGGTCGTAAAAAATAATGTGTTAGCGGTGAGACCGACCGACGTTAAATGCGGTTGTTAATGGCAGTCATTTACGAGAACGGACAATTACGTGGAATCCGAACAGCTTGACCGTATGTTTGATGCTAATTTGGAAAGAAAACATTGTGTTGCCAGAAGATCTTGAAGGCCGTCTTTAACTATTCAGGAGGTAAGAGTTTACGGCCCTCACTTTCCTTTGCTACTAAAAATTCAGTCTTGATTACTTCTAGGGCGTAGTGTGGATTCGGATGTATTGGAAACACTATATGATATCTATTACCTGTTGCTACTGCGAAACATGGACGAAATTTGTCCGTAAGGGCAGTAAATAATTGTATGTTTGTTAAATTTTACAAAGTCTTGTGTAATTTGATTGAAAATTAAAAATGAAGTCAAATGAACACTAAGTTACACGTCAAGACATAGACGTCAGCTGAAATGAAACTCATTAATACATACTAGAGGTCCCGCAGTAGTCGTAATTCGACTATAATTAATTGGGATTGTAAGTTTGTACACTATTATGATTGTATTTTATACTTCTATAATCACAAATTTCGCCAAGACTCTCTCTCTCTTCGATCGGTTCCTCACTGCTGAGGATCGTGACTCCGTCCGATTTCGTCAACCAACTGTCTCCATCGATCCCGCCGAGACTACATTATAAAAATATTAACAAAGACAAACAATATTTAATCTATTTTCAATTTGACAACAGACGTCAAGAGCAAAAGTTTGACATTAAATAGTATGCATGCGTGTGTGCGTCAGATACATGGTATGTAGTGTGTGTAATGTTTTCTTTATTGATTTAATGTTTCTTTTATGCATTATTTAAAAAAAAAATTAGCATTGTGCACTTCTTCTCTATATTTTCTATAAGTGTGGAAAATTTCATACTCCTCCGTCCGCGCAATTTTCGTAAAAAGGGATACAAAGTTTTTGCTTCACGTATTAATATATAGATTATACAATTAGAAGTACCTACACTTTTGCCGGATATTTAAACTGCTTTTGATATCGTTTTATTGAAATAAAAATTGTACTTGATTTTATACACAAATTTCAGTTGTATTAGCTAAATTATTGCTGCGAAAACCAATTAAAGATGATTTTTAAAAATATGATAAAAACAAAACGTTTAGTATATAGTAATATAGATCATATGATCATTGCTTTATGGCCTCCGAACAAAAATGATTAACAAAGATTTTTATGTAATTTTATCACTTTAAGAATTACAAATAAATTTAATAAATAAAATTATTATTATTATTTTTTAAGAGATTTTGTGACCTGGTAACTGAGACCTTTAAGTCATGTCTTATTTTAATGTATATTCTTAACTTTATGAAAAATTATATTATGGAGTGAAATGAAATGAAAATGATTAATTTGAGACATTAATCAACTGGGATGAAATTAAATGAGATGATATGAGATGAAATCTAATCTCAGTAAAATGGTGGTCGTTTACTAAGATTTTTTTAATGGACTTTTTGGGGGATCCCGAGAAGTTACGTCCAGCGGCTTTGTTTCATTTTCCCACATTTGTGAACTTTCACAAATATTAAACGGTTAATAAACCACCATTATTACACATTTAAACCCGAAGAAACACTAAATAGACAAAATAAAACAAATCACACAACTTCACTCCTCGCGTTCCCGCCAAAAAGTCTCCTAAATAAAATTATCACGTCATGTGTTCATAGATTATATAGATTATATAGATAATACAAAAAGAGAACAAAAAAAAAAAGAGTGTGCTCTCAAACTAAATTTGGCAAAGTAAAACCCATACTACATAAAACTCAGGAATATTTAGCGAATTCGAAATTCAAAATGAAAAGAAAAAAAATGGCCGCCCTTAGTTTTCCCTCCGTTTACCTCCATTTCAAATGTGTGCATCAATTTGTAGATTCAATTTTCTGTAATAAATTTAAATGAATTGAACAAAGAATTGTGAACGGAAGGGACTCCATGAATAAGGCAATGACGTTGATGGTGTGAGTAAGGATTATGAAAATTTGAATTAAAAAAATTACTCATTTTTTTACGTTACAGTACAGTAGGAAACCGAAAAAAAAATATTTGAGCTTCCAATTTCGTATTTTTGTTTTAATATTAAACGTTATACAAATTTTGAATTAAAGAACGAGAATAAAATGTTTAAAAAACAAAAAACACGGAAAAACAGTTTAAAAAATAAAATCAGTATTCTATTTGATACTTCAAATCGATTACAAGGGTCAGACGAGTACCGTGCCTGTTTCAATCGAATCGTTTTTCATCGCTTCACTATTCGGTCGACTTGTTGAACGTTGAAATCGTTCTAAAGCACTTGCTGGTTTTTTTTATTAGTTAAATTGAGAGTTTTATTTGCGGAAGACGGAACTGGCAACTTTCTATAATAAATAAATGACGGACAATTCGAAGGTACAAATAATAGTTTTGAAATATATCTTAAGGTCCTGTAAAAATTCGTCGACTGGGATGTTAAAAAAAAAACCGTAAATCGTATAAATAACCCAAAAAAACTAAGATTCGTCTATAATCACATCAATATTTTAACACACAGTTACGAGACCAATTCGAAAGACTAGGGTTTTTTTTTAAATGAGTTATATCACTGCCGTGTGCTTAGTGCGCGTTTTTTAACTTCTAGATCGCCTAAAAGTTAACTCAAATTTGTATGGAGTTGGAACAGCGGCCCTAGCGGCGAACGTAGCACGTAAAGCAACGTAAGCACCCTGATAATAAGTAGAACGCTACTACACAAAAACCATGTAGATCCAAAATTATGCATTCACAAACACGCGCTATAGTCCACATGCTCGCCTACTCCATACGATAAATTACAACGCATTACTTCCCTAATAGGACAAATCCCGAATAAATGTTCCGTATTAACGTAAGACCGGTAAAAGAAATGTGACTATGGAATAAGTATTCACATTTCGTGCCAAATGAAGCGAACTGGGTTTTGGATCGAAGCCAAACTGAAACTGAAGGTCTTACTACCGGTTACTTGTTTTCTGGTTAACAGTATGGCTTTCTTGGTTCATTATTTTTTTCATTCTATGTTCTAGGTTTCTGTGCGTCTTGTGTTTTGAAACAAAAAAAAAAAACTTCTAGTTGCTATATACTTAGTGTGTTTAATGGGAGAAGGTCATCACGACCTCACCTGATGGGAAAGACCTGTGGATGCTGATGAGTCAATTAATGTGAATCCTTGTACCCACCTCGAGACGTAAGATTGAATTGTGATTTATTTTCATGCAAAGGATACAAACCGAATCGCAGGATCGCTTCATGGTAAAAATATTACAATATTATATAAAACAGGCACTGGAATTTAGCGAAAAGAAAATAGATAAGAGCACTGCTAGGAAGGAAGTGGCAGCAATCGGAGCAGTGGGTCGAGTCGCAAACTCATTTATTTAATAACCGATCAAAGGTTATTAAATAAATGAGGTTATCATCTTTAAAATAAATACCATGTATTATTTTAAATATCTTAATTTGCTAAATTAAATTGTGATATTGAACTTCACTTGGACTTGCTAAGCCTTTTCAACCAAAAATAGATCATTACCGTTGTTATATCATGAGAATAAGCGTGAATTGCAGCGCTTACAACATTAATTATCTAATGTTTATATTTTACTGGTGGTAGGACCTCTTGTGAGTCCGCACGGGTAGGTACCACCCCCTGCCTGTTTCTGCCGTGAAGCAATAATAAGTTTCGGTTTGAAGGGTGGGGCAGCCGTTGTAACTATACTGAGACCTTAGAACTTATATCTCAAGGTGGGTGGCGCATTTACGTTGTAGATGTCTATGGGCTCCAGTAGCCACTTAATACCAGGTGGGTTGTGAGCTTGTCTACCTATTTAAGCAATAAAAAATAGAATAGTGTTTGGGTCTTGCAAAATAAACAAACAATGTACTTGGTAGCTTTATCTCGACATCGTAGGATCACTCGAATAGATAATCGTTCCGGTAAAACTACATCTGTTTAAAGCATTCCAGTTTGAATGTACATATATACGGCAGAGTCATGTAACAACACCTATCGCGTATAATTGGAACTATGCCAAAAACCTTCAAACCAACGAGAAATATAGAGTGTTTTATTACTCTAAACGATGATCGAGTTCACAGCTCAGCTGATATTAATTGGCCACTCAGAGACTCTATTCTTCAACTTGTATCCACCCAATTTTGTCTCTTCATATCTCTTCATATCATCTCTTCATATGCTTTCGAATCTTTTCGGTCTCTTACCTTTCTCGTCCAGTCCGTATGCGCTATTGTGACCAGATCGTCAGGCCAGACCACGTCCACTTTTTTCGAGCAATCAGCCAAAGGCAGCCACATACTTCAGATGTGAAGTATCAGTTATTTGAATCATGTCACGGCTGTTCCGCCCACCTCTGTAACCGTGACGCATTACTAATTTGTTGCAGGTAGGATTCTGCCATTAACCTATGTAAGCTACCTCATACATCCCACCAATAGTACAAATCTTCAACTCAATTCGATTAACGGCGTGTCGAACGCTAAACAAACAAACCTATAAATATTAATTGTCTAAAAATTTCACTGTGGTCTACATTACAAACACTATTATTAAACAAGATC